GTATCATTCCCAATTTGGTGCTTCAGAAATATTTTTCTTGAATAATTTTAATGCTATGAAGTTTGTAAAAATACAATTTTCAGGTTTCTCTGGAAAATGGTGTGTAACTGATTTCACCAACTGGGTCAACTGTAAAGTTTTTGAAAAACTCATTTTTGGGTTTGTTCTTAGTGGGGACATTACCACAGCTGGGAAGTGCACAGCACAGCCCGTGGACACTGACAAGGGTGCTCTGCCCTTTCCAGACCCTCTGAAGCTCACAACCACTCTAGTAGCATTTGGAATGTTGTCTTTCCAAGTGGCACTGGCTTTTTAGCTATCTGACCACACACCAATCCATTGTATATTATTTATGTTTTGTTACTTAATGTGGACATACACAATGGAATAGGTAGGGATGGCCAGATAGCTCAGTGGACCAAAGTGCCTGCTTAGGCAGAGCTCAGTGGCCTGGGTTTGATCCCCAATGTGCCATGCTCGCCACACCCCTGGGGCATGCTTGAAAAGGCACTTGGGACGGCATGGTGGTGAGGCCTTGTAATCCTAGCACTTGTGAGGCTGAAAACAGGAGCATCACTGTGTCTGATCTGTATAGTGATGAGACCCTATAGACCCTGTACTAAACACAGAAATAAACAAATAAAAATAATGGACTAGATAACTGTTTTGAGGCTCAAATACAAGTGTACTTGGAGCTGTCAAGATAGCTCGGCAAACTAAGTGTTTGCTTTGGCAAGCACAGATACGAGTGTTCAATTCCTAATGCCACAGGGCCCTGCCTCCAGTGACCAAATCTGGGTGTGGTGGCCCATGGCTATAATCCCAGAACTGGGAGGCTGAAAACAGGAGGATCACTATGAGTCTGAGCTGAATAATGAGATCCTGTACCAAATACATAAATGGAAAAGCAAACAAACAAACAAATATATTTGAAGCTCTGGATCAAATTTGCAGCAAACAGTGACAGTAGTCAGCCACACCTGAAGAGGCAGAAAGTAATTAATGAAGGGCAAAGCCAAACTGTTGACTCTGCCGCCATCACCAGTCATTCCACATACAACGGAAGCCTATGAAAGTGAGGATAGGGGAAGGCAAGGTAGAAACAAAAAGGTCATTTTCAAAATAGAGAAAAAGGACAATATTTTGACCCATGGAGAATTTGTCCAATTGACAATTGTCAAAACTCAGTATATGACAAGACAGTTATAACAATTCACTCATTATAATGTAACTGCTAGAGTTAGTCCTTGTGAAAGGGTTTGTGGTAAGAACTTGTGCCAGTTGCCTGAGAGAAGTACTTACCCTATAAGTTAAGCCTCATTCTTGTCCAAGGGGAGAGTTGCTGAGATTTCTTTGTTGACAAAACTGACTTCAGACTGTAGGAAATGGGGGCTGACTCCAGTGTCTACATTTAACTGTTTCGTACTTTTCCCAATCATACTCTAGCTTTTATCTAGCAAGAATGAAACTTTTAACACTAAGAAAAAACAAATCACTTCTTGGAATAGCAGAAGAAAATATATAATATGCTTCTAATATTTTGATAACTGTGTCATATTAAACATCTCTACCACTATGTATGAAGGCCAAACAGTACCATTTTAAAATACTATTGATTATGAGTTCTAGTGTGTTGAAAATATTGTATTTCAAAAAAGTAGATTGATCCAAGATAGTCCAATATTAGGAGTAAATACTTACATTTCATTGGAAAATTATAATTGTAACAATTTGTTGTTTTAAGTTCTACATAGCAGACACATTATGTTCCTTATAAGCTAGTCTCTAGTAAACACAGACCAAATCTTATGCTCTAAAGCATGTGTTCCTAATCATAATAACTTATTTACTACATGGTAATAGTTTAAGTGGTTACAGAGAATCTTCTAGAATACTTTCCCTATCAGCATTCTTTCACCATAACATTATGCAGAATTTTCCACCTGACTTCCTGCTTTCCCTCAAACCCAGACTGTGATCACAGAAGTGGAGGAAATATGTTCAGTTATTCTTACAAACATACTTGCTTCTGTCTTATGCATTTTCATAGTTGCTTCAACAGAAAACCACACAGAATGAAAGTAAACTATAAAATAGTTTTCCCAAAAATGTTTTATTTATGAAGTCATTGTTATTAAATACTTGTGGATCAATGAACTGGTCACTTTCAGATGGTTTTGAATGCTATTTATGCTGATATAAATTCTGCGAACTTTTGTCAATTGTAGTAAATGTATTGGAAGTCCAGGAAAATATTATTTAGGAAAATTTTATTAGCTAATATAGTAATGAATGATTTTAGTTCTTAATAGTCTTTTATTTTGTTTGCTTATTATATTAGTTTGTATTTATTTAAATCAGTTTTGCATTTTTAATATTGTATAATACTTATATGCCTTTGCTCATTATTTGTAAAACAAGTAATAATTTTAGTATAATTTGACAGAAAATATGACCACTTATTTTGATATTTATGAAGTATGTATTATTTTTTGACATTTTGAAAGTACAGACAACAAGTAAGGGAATCTTCTCTTTTTCTGATTTAGAATGTCCCCAAAATAAGCTTAGTATATGATAATTTGAAATGACATTAAGATTTCTTAATGTCATTTCTTAATGTCTAATTAAAATTAGAACAATTCAAAGAAAACTCTGCCAAGACAGGGAGTAAACTGTGGGAAAAGGAGCTCTCAAGAGTCCTGGGAGGCAGAAGGCAGGTGCTGTACTTGGGTGTCCCCATGTGACAGTCATTCTCTGGTGACGTGGGTTGCTAGGCAGGGATGGGCTCAGCATCAGAGTAGAGCTGAGCCGGCTGTGACTTCCTCCCGCTGACGTCATAGGTTGTGGAAGGGTGCAGACTGGAGCACGGACGGAGCCCTAAGTAAGACTCCAGGCAGCAAGAAGCTGAGCTTCTGGGCTCGCACTGCCGCGGGTGGTGTGGGGCTCCTTTGGGCTCTGGGGCCAGAGGTAGCACTCTGGCAAAGCTGCACCAGTTTTCCAGCGTAGAACAATGAATGACCGCATTGCGTCTGGTAACATGTCACAGGCACGATTTGATTGTGTTCAAAACAGCCTACACTTACAGCAAATTTGTATGTCGGTGTGTGTAAGTGGGGGTAGTACCTTTATTATACACATGATTTAAATCATAGCATTCCTTTGAACAGCTTATGACAATTGGTTTCAGACAGAAAATTTCAGAAAATGTCCACTTTTTTCTATTTGTGAATGTAATTCATTTTAGTCTATTTTCCTGCTACTCATAGCACAATGATTAAGTTTTAGAAAACTTGTTGAAATTCTGTGCTCATGTTTTCTAATGTTCTAATTTTTAATTTATATTGCTTTATATTATTCTCTAGTTAATATATTTACTAAGGCTTATATTTTCAGTAAGGTTATATTGATAGTAATTGCTTGAACACAAATTTTGCTCTCTGCTAGGGTGTTTTAAAGTGGCAAATGAATTTTTTTTTTAAATTTTTATTTTTTATTTTTTATTTATTTGAGAGAGAGAGAGAGAGAGAGAGAGAGAGAGAGAGAGAGAGAGAGTGTGGTGTGTGTGTGTGGCC